ACAGATGGTCAATGCCACAAGACTTTTTCTGTTGCTGCGATTTCTCTCTCTAAGCTTTCCATTTTTATGTCCACTGTTCCAGGACAGCTTTTTGTGCCAAGGTAGTTTTTTTCAATGGTTTAGCTTTTCTAAGAAAGTGCAAATTCTTTTCAAGGGTAACAGTAAAGTTTGCCGCTCAACAAATCAATTGCCTCAACTACCAACCTCTAATGTGGCAAGGAAAAACAAACAAACAAGCAAGCAAGCAAACAAATCACTAGTTCTTTCCACTATTTTTTTGTTTAATACAAGAAAATCAGTGGAGATTTTCACTAACACTGAATAGACTTCATAAATACACTTGTCCTCTTCATCTCCACAAACAAGAACCAGTGACTCTTACTTTATTTTCTATCAAGACTAATCCAACTTCCACTGCATATGAATATGTGCAGAAGTTGATAAAACAATCCTTTCAAACACATATAAACCACTGGTTTGTACTATATTTGGCTGTACAAAGAATTATTTTGGGGAACAGGGAAGTAGCCACTGCCTTCTGACTCTGCATTTTGCGATCTCCCTCGCTAGCTAGCAAACACCTTATGAAGTTTTAAAAACAACTATCGAAATATTAACACCTCAAAATCAAATTTGAACAGCATACTTAAGTAACAGAATATTGGAATATTTTTAGTTTTGAATTTTTTTCAGACTTGACACAGACTTCTGCACAGATGCTATACTTCACAATTCATTCACAATTTTGTCCTACCTGCGACTGGATAATAGGTAGGATCAACAGTTCAGATCACTCTTAACAGGCCAACACCATATAACAGACAATTCATTTCATTCTGCAGCAGCTTACATGTTTCGAGTGCAGTAGTCTCACATGCAAAGGAAAGAGCTAGTCTGTTGGTTATTTGGAAATCTGGGAAGTTAGAAACGCATTGGGACTGCGACCACTTGCTCGGTAAGCTTTCAAGCTTATGCTTCTCCCATTGGCATACCTAAAACACCTAAAACGAAAACACATGGAAACTAGCAGCATACAGCAACAGATCTTCCTCCATCACCCCCCAGTAAACCTTCCTCTTTCTCCTAGCACTGAGCCTCTCACTCAGCCTTTCTTTGCCAGGATTCACACACATCAACTTCCGTGTGAATTCTATCAGGAAGAGGACTTTCATTCCCAACACCTGAGAAAGAAAGCATGGGAAGCCAAAAGCAGGACAAGTGGCCAGCCGCAACACTGATGCAAGGATTGGCAGGAATGTGAAGGAAAGAGAAACTGGGGTACTTATTCCAGACCTGTATGAAGCACTGGGGCACACTCTTCCCCAAAACCTCCACCTTCTGTACTTTCCAGGCCACCTGCTCACATCTAACAATCACTGAATTTCCCTTGCTCATCCCCTTTTGACTTTCACAGAGAAACCTAACCTAACCTGTCATTCCCCAGTAATGTATCAATGCATCACCATCACAGCTTTACCCAGCTCTGGCCTTGCACAGGCTAAACATCTAAAAGAGAAAATCTCAGTTTCTCTTCAACAATCAGTTGTAATCCAGAGTTTCATATAGTGGGTATTTCCTTGGCAATTTTGCTTATGGAGGGGGGAAAAAAAAAAACCAGCCCCAAAACGAAATCCAGTGGTTCCAAACAGCTAACTAATAAATCGGCTGCTACAGAAATACAAGTTTCATGGCTATGCTCAAATTACGGAGTACCTGCAAACACAAGTTCAATGTCCACTACATTTTGGCTGCTCTGTGAATGACAGCACAACCTGAAGATGTTTAAGGACCAAGCTCCGAACATTAAAACGGGAAAAGGTAATTCCTACGTTGATAATGTATTATCTTCGACTTCACAGGTGAATTTTGGCTCTCGAGGCTCAAGCACTACTTAAAAATACAGAGAAAGAAAGAGACGAAAAGAAAGTTTCTGGTCAGAAAGCCTGCCGAGCGCAGCCGGCAGGTGAGGAAAAGGCGGGACTGACACACCGGAGCCACGCCAGGAAGGGCGCGGGTCGCGGGGGAAGGATCAAAGCTACGGGCAACCCCGAGCCCGCCGAGCCCG